ATTCCTTTATGAATTCAATTCATTCGATGTCCTTTATTTAAGCTTTTCTGCTTTCTCCTTTCTAGACGCTTCTAGACGCTTCTAGACGCACTTTGGCCTAATTCCAGGTAAATTGTACTGGTTGCCTCTATATCAAATATTATTCACAGTTAGCACAATTTTTTTGAAATAGTAATATATTTTCTAAATAATTTTCATAGTTTAAATATATTTTATGAGGTCATTGCTATTCAAAAAAGACCGAGGCATACGGTAAAAGGAGCATTTTCCGTTAAATGGTACCATGCACTTACCTTTCCTAACCTTTCAGTTTTTTACATCAACTTCATGTGATATTTTATTTGCAAATTGCGAAATTATATGCAAGTTTTACGAAATAATATGCAAGAAATGTAAATTAAGTCAATAAAAACTATGAAAAATTACAAATACAGTTTTGAAACATGAAAATTGAAAAGAAAATTAGCAATAACAACAGAATAAATTTAGTCTATGGGTTTGAAATGATAAAGAAATAAATCGCATAGTTTTCACGTAGTCGCATAGTCGCGTAAGATCACCTAAAAAAAAATAGGAAAAATCATTTTTATTGATAATTATGATAAGAGCATGTGAATATTTATTCGAAATCTACAAGCTTATAGAACAATTACGATCGCTTAAAATTCGACAATAGAATAGATAAAGTCGATTTTAAGCTACGAAAAATCGAAAAACCGACCAATTAACTATTGAAAACCTAAAATTAAACGAAAACTAATAAAAATAAAATTTTAATTGTTTTAGCATTTTTCCGCTTTTAGATTACTTTTATGCAAAACTTGTTTAGGAAGAATAATTGCGAAAATAAATATCTCTGCGCGAGTGTGAGAAAGCCACCGCCTGCATGAAAACATAGAAAAAGCATGGAAAATACACGTCGGCATGAAGACGGGGAAAAACCATTGTTCCATGTTATATTACTGTTGTATTACCGCTTTGCCCGATAAAGTCTTTGCCCTTTGAACAAATTCTGCCATTCTGGAACGATGTGGCTCTTTGATGGAAAAGTTTCACACCGAGAGCGGATAAGGCGACGCAAAATTGGCGAGCAGAGAAGGAAACACAGAAAAAATGCAGTTCCACCTATCCTGAATTCTGATTAAAGCGATGTCTAAGACGATGTCTGTTGATTTAACACAGATGTTAAGTTCCACTGAAAAATGAAACTTTCAGCTGTGTTCCAGCGATCATCGTGCATTATGAGAATATTGGTTAACTGAACTGTAGACAAAATTTCTCCCCAGCATTTAATGGGAATTCTTTCGCCAAATTCTTAAAATTAAATAAATTCCTTGTTTTTTGAAAGATAATAAATTTTATCCAAAGGAAGCACATAAAAGTGGTCGAATAAATTACGTAATAATCGAATTCGAAAGAACCATAAATGAATAAAATGCCTTATTACGCACAGAATTGAAAAGACCAAATAGAAAGCAACAAAAACCAAACAGAAACCCGCAAACCAATTTGAAACCAGCACATCCACCATAATCTCCTTTCAGTTATCATCCAATAAAAGCTTATAATAAATTTATTTTGAATAAGTGAACTTATATAGCAATAACAATTGCTTTAAGGCTATTTCACGGTGCAAGAATTACTGCCTGTATTTATCAAAATATTTTATTTTGCTTTCCATTCGTTTTATAAATTTAAGAAATTTTCATATTTTGCTAATTTTCATTCCTCGAGGGCAAATTTAAATGGCGATTTATTCCTTTGGTTGTTGCTAATGGCAAAATAACGTTGTCATACCTATTATTTTACAAAATTTGCAAAAATATTTTAATTAATAAATAAAGAAAAAAGGTAAATATTATTATGTAAATATCAGTTAATGCGATTAATGCGATTCTTATTGTCATTTATTTTTATTTATTTATTTATTTATTTTTAATTTTTATTATTATTTACATTAGTATCATATTATTATCATTATTATTAATTGTTATTATCATTAATTATCATCATATTAGTTATTAATGGTTATTATCAATTTATTATCATTATTATTATCGCTATTAAGCTATTACTATTTATTAATTATTATAAGTTATTATTATTTTTTATTATAATTTATTTATCTGAAGGAACAAAGTCGATCGACAAGCGCCATGTGCTTGCATTAATATTAATAAAATAAGATGTGTCAAATGTTTAATAATTTTCCGAAAGGTTATTAAAATTAAGAAAATTGTTAAGATATTGTTATTGTTTTTTTCTCAGTTTTTATATAATTTTTATAATAATCTACAATTTTTATAATGAAATGAATTAGAATAATCCAAAAATTGATTTTAATATTGAATTTCTAGAAAAATTTTTTTTTTCGTGGAGGGGGGTGTTGCGCGAAAGGAGGAAAATGTGAAAAAATTTTTTTAATGTAAATTTCCTTGCATAAATTTGTAAAATTATTGAAATATTATTATTTTTAAATATTATTATTTTTTATTATCGAAAATTATTATTTTCATATTTTTCATATTTTAATATTTTTCATTCGCAAATTTAATTTAATTAGTTCCAATAATTTTTGTTATTCATTAAATTAAATTATTATTCAAAGCATTTTACCATTATCAAAATTGTTAAAAATAATTGAAAAATGAATATTTATGTAATAAACAAAATAATATTTTAAATTTATTTATGTCATAATTATAATATAATAATATAAAATTAAAATTATATTATTATAATATAAAATTAAAATTATAAAATTATAAGATTTTTCGAGTGGCAGACAGCTAATAATAAATTAAAAATCTTTAAAAATTTGATTTTTTAAAATATTTTTTTAAATTATATTGTTCATATTATAATTTAATATTACATTTATATTATAATTTAATATTCAATTAGCAAAACAACTAAATTCAATCTAAACAAGTATTTTTGTGGGACCCAAATTAAGAGAATGGTGATTGATACCTTAAAGGAAATTTATAAGGAATTCCGACAGTGCAATGCGAATAATAAAAACGAAAATTCACCATGGGAGGAGGGGAGGAGATGATTAGGCAATTACTTTTATGTTTAAAGAGTTTTTTCTTAATTTAAAACTTAAAAGAAAAACTTAAGCTTAGGCTTAAGGTCCAAGCATAAACATCGTTCACCTCATTTTTAGTTGCAAACAGTCCGATTGTTTGCTTTCGTGAATATTCGTTTTAGCGATTTACGTTACGCGTGCAAAATGCGTTTATAATATATATTTTACGTAAATAAAACTGAATGTTCCTTTTTTAATTTCAGGTGATATCTCGTGGCTATTTCAATTGCCAATTGTTTAATTACAAATTTTTCTTTTCACTTATTTTCAAGTTTCTGAAATTAAAAAAATTATATTTATTATTATTATTACTACTATTATTATTATATTAGAATTATTATGAAATTGTTATATTTTATTAAAATATAAAAATTGTAAAATATGTTTAAAGAGGCTACAAGAATAACACTTCGCTGGATGTTATGCCTGAGGTTAGGAAAGCATTTTCTTGACCTTTCCTTAACCCCTTCCTGCGACCTTTGATATTTTTCCAAATCTAATCTGATATCATCAAATTTTAAATTCTTCAAATTCAATTAGATTAAATTTTTTAATAAAAAAATTATAAAATTAGCAAATATATTTATTATAAATATTTGCCAATTTCATAATTATAATTTTTATAATTTATAATTCATTGTAATTTTTTTATTACAAAGACTTCAACCAATAATCAACAATGAATTTAATTATAAATTTTAATTTATCAAATTCTAAAATTTTTTTTTTTGCTATAATTCGAATTTTTTCACCTTTTTTATTTTTTTTTATAAGAAAATTTAAATTTCTGAAAAAAAATCAATGTTTTCGGTGTAAATTAGTAAAAAATTTAATTACTCTATTTTCTAATAAAAATCAGTAAAAATATTTTCATTTGTCTTTTTATTATTTTTTTATAAAATTTTTTTGTTAAAAATATTCTTTTTATTTGTAAAATAATTGTAAAATATTGTATAAAACGATATATTTTAAAAAAAAAAAGCTTTTTTCGAAAAAATTAGTCAAAATTTAATGAATTCGGAGAAGCTTAACGGCATAATTTCCAGTTCACCGTTCCACCTTTTATCTTTTCACCTTTCACCTTTCATCTTTCACCTTTTTTTGACCCCTCCCTGCGACCTTTGACCTTTAGATATATCAATTCATTTGCATTTTAGTTTCGCACTGATCCTTAGAACTGTTTAAAGCATAGAATATTGCACAATATTCGAGCTTTCTTCTTCCTTATAAATTAAAAACTGACTGAAAACTTCTTTAACCTGAACGGCAAAAGCATCAGTTCAAAAAATGGATAATGGAATCCGAGGTAAAAAATAATGGTAGCAATAACTACATCTCGGATTGCTTGCGGCTGCGGTCCAACTGTCGAATTTCGACATTCGAAGAAATAGTAAGTAATAGACTGATTATTGACTGTGGCTTCCGAGTGTAGGAAGGGGGAAGATGGCGAGAGAGGGGGTTGAGGAGGGGGACGTTGGCGGAGTTGGGGGTTAACTAGGCTTGGGACGTCTTATGCATCTTCTATATGTATATACATAAATAAATTGTTAAGCTCATGTAGAAGTCATTTCTATTCTTTTCTTATTTCCTCGTCTCCTTCTTTCTTCTTTCCTGCGCCATGTTTCCTTATCGACATCGTCTTGCGATAATTTTCCCCATTTTGCGATAATTTACCAATTTTTATTGCCTTCTCTCTATGCGCATCATTTTAATATTTATTTTAATATTTCATTTTAATATTTATTACGCAATAAATTTAAAAAAAAAAAAAAGAAACTATGAAATGGAAAATTTTTCCAAAAATTTACTCTTTAATTATTTTTTAGAGAAGTCGAATTTTGTTTTATTTTTTTTTGTTATTTTTTCATTAAAAAAAAAAATTGTTATAAATTTAGGTTATAAAATCAGAATGTCGCAAGCATTTATCGGTAAACCCGCACCGAATTTTACAACCGAGGCGGTGATTAATGGTGATTTTAAGACGATTTCATTATCGGATTTCAAGGGGAAATATGTCGTTCTTTTCTTTTATCCTCTTGATTTGTATGTTTTTATTATTTTTTGTTTTGCTATTTTTTATAAAATTTATAGAAAATTTTAAAGTTTTTTAATTATTGTCGCTCTTATAATATTCAGTTATTTGCTATTTGAAAATCGTTTTTCTTTTTTTTTTCGGCATTAATGCCTAAGGTGATAAGGTGATAAGACATTTCTTTCTTTGGATCTTTCGCCTTTTATATGAGTTATCATTGAAATTAGATAAAATTCCTAAGAGCAAATCTGTCTTAAAAATCCGGGACGATGATATTGGCGATTCACCATCTGTATTTCTATGCCAAAGTGTGACAAACCAGCGAAGCGAGTTTAACCAATAATGATGTGGGCTCTTAAAAAATAGATTGCTCGAGGATATGAATTTGCACCAATTATTTCATATTTTATATTGTATTAGGAGATTTATAATTATTTCAAAAAGTTCATGCTGTAAAGAAGTTTTTTAGCACTTTTGTTTGTCCAACCGAAATAATCGCATTTTCTGATCGATATGAGGAATTTCGTAAACTCGATGTTGTGGTACTTGCTTGTTCAACCGATTCCAAATTTTCGCATCTTGCTTGGATCAATCAACCGCGAAAACTTGGTGGTCTTGGCGAGATGAATATTCCTATTTTAGCAGATACAAATCATAGTATTAGTCGAGCGTATGGTGTGCTTAAAGAAGATGAAGGAATCGCCTATCGGTAAATATCACTTTCTCCAGTATGCATTCAAAAATTTTTGGTGTTATTCAATTCTTTTTATAGGCTGAAAAATATAATATATTTAATCAGTTGGCGATTAAAAAATCAGTTGTTGCTCACATTTGTTTATCAAGTTGTTCCTTGCTTTTTTCATTGTTTTTCTTGTAAGATATTTTTTTTAACATTGCAGTGGATTATTCATCATTGCACCGGATGGAATTCTTCGTCAAATAACCATTAATGATCTTCCAGTTGGTCGTTCTGTTTCTGAAACACTTCGACTTGTCCAAGCATTCAAATACGTCGATACCCATGGCGAAGTTAGTTCATCATTCCACATTACCAATGTATTTTTATAAAAAAAAAAAAAATCAAGCTCATTTTCCATTTCAGGTTTGTCCAGCTGGTTGGAATCCAGGTAATGATACGATTGTGCCTAAAATCGTGGAAAGTAAGGCTTATTTCGCGAAACACTGAAGATTGTTTTGAACATCGAAAATTTTTCTAAAATTTTTCATTCGATTCTTAGCCTTCATTTTTCAATTTGTATTAGGCCTTTGTTCTACTTACTCTACGTGTTCCTCGTCATATTCGTCATTTAATATGGTGAAAAGTGATAAATGTTATTTTTTTTTTTTAAATAAATTTTTTAGATAAAGAATTTAGAAAATGTTAAAGTAAAATGTATTGAGAACATTAAATTGAGATTTATGAGCTTATCCCACATCCATTCTTATACTGGCGAACTGATTACTTTAAGAGTGTTGTGCAGATAATTTTTCGATTATGGATTCGATTATATAAGCACTGGTTCTTTGAAAGTCGGCCAGAATTTAGTTTTTAATTTGTTATTTGCGGGGAAAACTGGTGAAGCAATGCAGGTTTTCTTTCGACAGATCAAAATGCGATTGGGAATTAGAATATGGAGTATTGAAAATTTAAAATAAAATAAAAAATAAGGGTTATTTGTTGTTCGCTTGATCGCTGATATACAAAGTTTAATTTAGTTTAGTTTAGTATTAGGAAATATTTGTTGAAAAAATTTTCAAATATTGTTAAATAAGTTTTTTAGATTATATTATCAAAGTTGATATGATATGATTATGATATGAAATGGAGGAATCACTCCATTTGTTCCACTCGAAATGTAGGATTTCTTTACAAAGTACTGATTAGACTCGCTACTTTGGCTTTCCGCATTAAATCAATATGCGAGGGAGTTCCTTGGCGATAGAAGTATAGGTCAGTCACCAGCGTCATCTGGATTTTTGGACGAATTCACTGCTTCCGGGAATAGAACCCCAGCATCGGCGCTACAAATTGAGAAATATCCTATTAACCATCCTACTCTTTTTTGTTTTTATCTGTGAGGTGGTGGTACTGCCGTCCGACGAAGAATTGCACCGGCGATTTCGAATTCAAACTCGATTCTCAGTGGCAATCAGAGTCTTACCACAGAGTCATCGAGGAATGGCAAATGTAACAGTAGGGTTTCGAATCGATTCGAATTCTCTGCCTTTCCAGTAAAGTCCCCACGATTCCATGGAAACTTATCTATTCAATCTTGAATATGAGAGTGTCGCATAATAGAGTCGCGCTGGCTCGGGCGTCGCTCAGATTTTATTTTTAACTTTGAAATATATAAAAATGTCGAAACGACACCGAGAAATTTCAGCCGGAAAAATATAAATGGAAAGGAAATTTCGAAACCGCAAATATTCGAGAATAAATATTTAAAATGTTTTGTTGCAAACAAGTTTTTCTAAAGGAATCTCTTTAATGAATTTTTTTTCAAAATTTTTCTCATTTTAAACTTTTAACGATGACGAAATCTTTGGTAACGAAAAACATTTTAAAGGAAAAAAGTAATTTTGTGATTTGAAACGAATTTGTTGTAATAAATAAAGTAGAAAATGATGAAATTCTCTCTTACTTGTCCCTTATCACCTTTTATCAGTGTGATAACGATAATGATAGAGATCAATGAAACTGGGTGGCATTAATTTCTTTTTTGAATTTCTTTTTAATTCTTAAATTTTAACTCGACAAATATTAATAAAAAATAAAAATTATTATTATTAATAAAAATAAAAATAAAAATTGAACAGAATTTTTTGGATAATTTTTTGCATTTAATTTTCTCTCCGCAGTTCTTTTTTTTCTAAGAGCGCTCTCCATTTCTCATTTTGTATTTGGTTAAATTGGCTTATTGGATCGTTAGCTTTTCACTTTAGGAAATCATTTGGTGACGCTTGGGTTATTTAAAAGACGGGTTTATTCTTGGAAGTGGAAGAGTGGAACCTCAGCTTTTTCATTCAAATTCTTTCAAATTGTTTTTTTTCAATTTTTTAAATTTTTCATACATTTAAAGAATAAAATTATTTTTTATAGCAATAAATGAGCTCATTAAAAGTGAAATGAAAATGAAGCGAATGATAGTAGGGATTGCCTTTTTTTATAAAAAATTTTTTATATGTTTATATGTAAAATTATAATTTTTTTTTAGAAAATTCCCAAAATATACAAAGAGAATGTATAAAAATGGTGAATTCTATTGTAACTGAAATATCAATAAATGAATTTATGTTTGTTCCATCTCAGTTTGTAAAAATCAGGTTTTCTCTGTTCAATCAGCGATGCTCGGTGCTTTAATTGTTCCTTTAAAATAGAATTTTTATTTTTAAAATTTTCATGTTTTCTATGAATTAATCACTTATCACTTATTATTTATTATGTTAAGAATCAATGGTTCGCTCTTGCGCGTCCGCTAGGAGACAATCATTAAACCATTAAAGAAGTTCAGATGGCAAAAATAGCCAAAATAAGCGGACGAGCCAAAAATAATAAAAATTTATTATTATAAGGTATTTCTTTTGGTTCAAATTAAAGAGATTTTTAGAGAAAAAGGGAGAGAAATTTAAATTTTCTTCACTGAGAATATCATTAATTCGTATGGAACTATCCAGCTAATTTCACAATAATATTTTCGTGGAGAGATTTTCCGACGATATCGATTATCGATTATGATTTGTATTAAGCGAGTGGTCATCAAACCTTCTTTTTCCACGAGTCTCTCTATGGTACCACAAAAATTCATGGTTCACCAATAAAATATTCGCAAGTCTTAAAATTAAAATTTAAAATTTTTCATCGAAGAATTCCTAGTGATTATAATAAACTATATAAAATAATAATTGTGCAAATGATTTTTTATGGATATATAATTTGAATAAGACATTCGCTCATCTCTTAAGAGCTACCAAGAGTTTCCCTATGGGTCCATAGGAGCGGCTTGACGACTTTTCTAAATTTTACAAATTTTAAAATGTGGCTTAAAAGTGCATAATGGTTGCTTTTTGGTTCAGTTATAGAGCTTTGGATCATTAGTATCTTCCGGAAAAAATTTTCCTAAAACCCCTTTCTTTGCAGTAAGTAAGTGGTTAGCGCTCATTATTTCTCTTTAGGCTTGTCCTGCTGGTTAAAAATTATGTCACAGGCAGATTTTTTGCCAACAGGTTATAATCCCTATTGGATGTCAAGGAACCGAAATTGATCGTAAATGTGATAATCTGTGCTGCTATTAAGCATTCTCTTTTTCATCTTCAAACTTTCAATACTGTTTATTGCCATAATCATAAATCACTATTTGGGGTTTTTCTTTATTGTTGTTTGGTCGGCTATCGAGTTTCGCTATTTCATAATTTTATAAAAAATAGCTTAGGGAGGGGCTTTAAGGGACCATTTTTTGTTAAATAAGGCGGAATTGTACACGCTTCGATAATTTCAGTCACGAAGAACACCAAGGTTATTCGTGTTTTACTTTAAGATTTTTTCATTAATCATTATCGCAATAAGTATTTCAAGAAATTTATGTCATTTTCCTGAAACCAAATTAAAATTCATATCAGTTATATCAATAAAAGAATAGAGCAACGTGATCAGATGGTAGATTACTTCCACTGAGGCCAAGCATTGCCAGTTTTTTCTTCTTCGACAAGAATAAACCTGTCTTAAAAATTCGATGCTGGAGACCTGCATTTACCTTACTAACGTCTTATCCTGGAATAGTGGGGACTAGCCAAGCCATAAATAGGTCAATACACTTGATAAATGAAGAAAGATAAAAAAATGATAAAAATAATGTTACGGTAGCTAAATTAATAATTCGGTTTTCTTCCTAAGAGTGCTAAAATCTTCAGCAGATTAAGATTAGATGAGAAAATTTTTCATTTATTCACTAGATTTTTCTCGGTTATTTTCAGTTTCTTAAGATTTTTTAATAAATTTCAATCTCTTTAAATTCAACTCTAAAAAATTTACCAATTTGCAAACTAAAAAAGAAATAAATTTTGGTAAAATTTCTTCAAAAACATAATGAAAATCTATAAATAATCCAAGTAAAAGCCAGTATTTTAAATATTTTTTGCCCACGGGGGATTTTAATATAATTACGCGAAACAAAATATTCTTAATTATTTTATTTTTTATATTTTTATATTTTTTTCGTTTTTTTTAAAATAATTATTTTTTCCAATGATTATGCGATTTAAATAATGAATTTTAATTTTCTAAATAATTTTTTATTTTAACAGAAATTTAAATTAAAATTTAGATGGCTCAAGCATTTGTTGGAAAACCCGCACCGAATTTTACAACCGAAGCGGTGATTAATGGTGATTTTAAGACGATTTCATTATCGGATTTTAGAGGAAAATATGTCGTTCTTTTCTTCTACCCACTCGATTTGTAACAATTGTTTTTTATCTTAAACCTTATATTATAGTATTTTTAATAATAAATTACGTTATTAAAGGTGAAGTGCTAGTAATGCGGAAGATCCATCTCCTTCTGCCTCCTCACTGACGAACCTTATCTTAGTCCCCATTAGAGCAAACCAGACATAGTATAAAAAGAAGAGGATTCGCAATCCAGTTCGTCCATATTACTTAATCAGGTGGTATATTCATGAATTTTATAGCCATAGAGTCATTTGGCTATAAGTGAGTCGCCAGCATCACCTGCATTTTAAAAGATAGCTAACTCCTGTCGGGGGAAGAATCCCAGCATTGGCATTCTGAAGTGGCAATAACAATCCAACTTTGAGCCATTCTATTCCATACTTCATTAATCAGTTATTAAATTGTCAAAAAATGATTACCTGTAATTAATAATTAAAATAAGTAAAAAATTAATGAATTTTTTAGCACTTTTGTTTGTCCAACCGAAATAATCGCATTTTCTGATCGATATGAGGAATTTCGTAAACTCGATGTTGTGGTACTTGCTTGTTCAACCGATTCCAAATTTTCGCATCTTGCTTGGATCAATCAACCGCGAAAACTTGGTGGTCTTGGCGAGATGAATATTCCTGTTTTGGCAGATACAAATCATAGTATTAGTCGAGCTTATGGTGTGCTTAAAGAGGATGAAGGAATCGCCTATCGGTCAATTCTTTTCCTTTATGTTCCAGTCGTCCTTGTTGGTTCCTGTGTTTCATATAATTCGGAAACTGTTTAGCCGATGAAATTTTTCTTTTAAACGTTCAATGACCTTTTCCTATGCAATAAACGGTGATTCGACCTGTTTTAGTGGTTTATTCATCATTGCACCGGATGGAATTCTTCGCCAGATAACTATTAACGATCTTCCTGTTGGTCGTTCAGTTTGCGAGACACTTCGACTTGTCCAAGCTTTCAAATACGTTGATACCCACGGAGAAGTTAGTTTTTATTGCACTGGAAATTTCAAAATAACGAGAATTTGAGTTTATTTTTATATTATATTAAACTAAGATTATGTTTGGACCGTTTAGCAATTGAGTTTCACTGCGATACACCTTGCACCTTGTTGCATTCCATTTAGTAAATTGGTCATTCAAAACGAAATCCAGGTGGTTTTGTGGATCCGTCTGTACTTCTAATAACTATTCTGGCGAAAAGAATTTTGCCATAAAAATCAGTGGAATTAGCCGACCAGAAATAAAGCTTCCTTATAAAAAAATATGAATTATGAAATTTTGAAATTTATGAAATTCAATTATGAAATTTTTTAGCAGAATTTAGAATTTAATTTTTATTGAGTTAAATTAAAATAAATGCGAATTTATTAAAGACCATAAGTTTGTGAGACATTATTCCAATTATAAGGTAGGAATTTTTTTCTAAAAAACACTCATCGTTTCTGGTTAAGCTTGTTCCGCTGAATTGTCGGACCAGACAAAGATTCTTCAAGAGGCCAGAAGAAATTCCAGCAATAGACGACACCAATAGTTGGATTTTCGAAAGATAAATAAGACAGCTTTAGTCTTACTGGTAACAAAACCTGAGTAGATTCTCGTCACTTCGTAATCCACTGAGCCATTTTATTCTCTAACTAGAAAGTTCTGGAAGAAATTGGGTTAGGTTAATTCTGTTGATTTTTTCGAAGATTGCAAGTATTTTTCTCCTATTTGATCCTCATTTTTTCAAATGAAAAGCATTCTTCCAGTTTACTTGCGAAAAATTAAAGTATCATAATATTCTTTGTCGTAACCTTAATTATGCGACTCGAAGACGGCTATTATTTGCAAAAAAAAATTTGCAAAAAATTTAGGTTTGTCCAGCCGGTTGGAATCCAGGCAATGATACGATCGTACCAAAGGTCAAGGATAGCAAGGCCTACTTCTCGAAGCACTAAACCTGGATTATGTCTAGCAAAGGATATCTTCTTCCTTATCAAGATTTTTCTCGCAAAGTTTTTATCAATTATATGCTTAATTTCGATAAATATTTTATATTTTATTTTTTGAACAATTTTATAAAATTTATCCAGAATTTCAATCCATAATTCTCCCTTTTTTTTCGATTTTTAAAAAAAATGAAATTCGCAAAATGAAAAAATTCATTATTCTTATTTAAAATATGTGAAAATATGGGATCGCTTTTTTTTCTATTGAAAAAATTGTGTCAAAGATGATCAACAAAAAAATAATTTAAATGGTTTTTTTTAAGAAACCATTAAAATGATTAGGGAAAGGATAAGCAATATAACTGGGCAAAGTGTAATCTCAGAAGATCATTCACTTCTTGCATAATTCTTAATTTGCCTAACTATTAATTATTTGTGCTACAAGTTCAACTGTATTGCCGCAGCATTGTATTCGAATTTCTTTTATAGGTTGGAAACATAGGTTGCTAAAAAAACAAAGAAAATGCTATATAGTTGCTTCGTCTGAAGTCCAATCAAATCGAAATCTCAAGGGAATATTTAATGGGATTTGGAAAAGTTTTCATGAAATTACCTGACACGGATCTTATGATAAGTACAGTAGTTTAGTACATAAACTACAGAACTGTTTGGCAATATATTAATTTTTGATGGAGCATTAAAAGAATATAGCAGGATTTCAAACGGTATTAAAGAGGATTTCAAGGGGTTGTTGTTAGGAAGCGTTTGGATACCAAGGCGATGTACTATTTACGTAAAATGGAAGGCAAAAGAAAACATATAAAGTGGAGAACTTAAGTAAATATGCTGTCACAAACTCTTGAAGATAGGAATGTAATGCTGATTTTTGGCTGCTGATCATGATAAAAAGTGACAGCTAAGATAGAACCCTCGGGCTCCTCTGGTAGAAGACTCGAGGTTAAGGACGATCTTTACCACCCACAGAGGATGAGAAAGATATGTATGAGAAAGATATATGTAAATAACTATCAAGGTTCAAGGCCATATGGGTAATATATGATAAAGGTTCAAAAAGGCATTAGAATGAATACGAGAGGCATCAGTTGCTTATAGACAAAGCACTTGCTCACGACTCAACAGACCAATCTATGCATAGCGGGACTGACTGTAGGAAAAACTAACTATGACTCAATGAATAAGATAAATCCTGCAGATCCAGCTCGAAGAATAAAATCCATGCTACATACCCTGCCGGTCATGGCAGCTGGGTTAAAAAAATGGACAAAGAAAGATATGGAAGCTGCTGATGTGAAGACTGATACCAAGTTAAACACCCAGAGACCGCAGACGAAAAAAGGCGATTGGGATTTGATAAATGCTAATGTCTTGAACGAATCCGGAAGAGTTTAAAAGAATATATCATCAAGATGGCACCAAAAGACAATTTTTTGAACGAATGCCTAAGTCATCAACATTCATTGGTATAGCAAAGCAAGATCATCCATGGGATGGTACCATTGATGAATAACTGAGATAGCTGCAAAAGTTGGACTGGAAGTAAGCAATGAAGCTTTAAACGCAGCAGAAGAAACAGATCCATAGTAGATCTTCCTCTAATCAAATACTGACCAATCAAAACAAGAACCAAAAATCAGCACTAGTGTTAGATATAGCAATACCAAATGACAGGAAATACAAGGAGTATATACGAAAAGCTAAAAAACACCAGGAACTAAATAAAATAGTCCCAGTGGTGATACGGTGGCAACAATGCTAGGGACTGTGATCCTTGGTCTAAGAAAATGGTCAATAGATCAATGACCAGCAGATTCCAGGATTCCAGGATCAATAGATATTTCTACCCAGAAGAGCGTACTATTATGACGGAAGTTCATAAACCTCTAGTAAAGCATCCAAGGCTGGGGATAACTCATACCGCCCACAGAAGGTGAGAAAGTTATTATCACCTGTGGTTCAAGATAAAATCACCTATGTTTGTTATAATTTACTAATTATACCGTAGTGACTGTGGTCAGTGGTTAATATGTGTGCCAGGCAATCCAGGACTTCAAGGATCCTTCCTAGAATGAATTGACCTTTCAGTGGAGGATTGCCAATTTTGATTTGATTGGGTTATCTAATTCAGTTAAATATTTAACAGTGGGCTTGGTTCCCACGACAATGTCCTGTGGACCATCAAAAACATTTTAAAGTCCGAATATACCCTCTGTTCAACCTCTGAAATTTTATTCCCTTTCGAATTCTGCCGTTCTCAATTCGTCAACAAAATTGCGGGAGGCGACCTTTGCCCTATTGATTGCGCACCACAAGAATTGCAATACCAATCACCCAATCAATCAATCGCCAAATATATTCATCGATAAATAACTTGTTGTTTAACGGATTTACTACGCCGCAGCCGTCTTTTTCTATTTCGCAGACTACATTTTTTTATTTCTGGTTTTTTTTTTTTAAGTTTTAAGTTTTTGTAATACTTTTATTGGTTGTAAGAATTTTGTTTCGTAAATTTACAATGTTTTTCTCCAATTAATTTATATTTTAATAGTTTATTTAATTTTAATTTTAATGGCTAATTTAATTAATTTAATTTTTTTTGTTTATGGAAACGATTTTCAAAATTAGAATTTTACTTACTCGCACGGATAAATATACGCAAAAAATATTTTCCCGCATTTCCTAAGAAAAAAAAAATTTTTTTTTTCGTGGCATTAAATTATTTATAATTTTTGTTGCATATATTTCCAATATACGTTAAATTAATAAATAAATGTGGAAATATTTATTTTTCCCTAAAATTTAAATTTCGAATTTAAGAAGGTCAAATATTACTTAAAAGTTCACATTTATTTAGTTCCACAAATTTTTTAAATCTTTTTTTAAAACTTTTTTACAAAATTTTTTACTATTTGAAATTTTTGTTTAATTCAAATTTTTAATATATATTAAGTTTTTTAAAATTTTTACCAATTACGAATATTTTTTATTTTAATAAAATAATTTTGATTTTAATAAAAAAATTTGTTAATAATAAGAATTTAGATTTTTTTTCAATTTTATATGTATAGCATTTTTCTTTTCCTTAATCGAAATTTTCTGTTTCATGCGAGTAGAATCGTTCTTTCCATATTTAATATTCATTTCATGAATATTATTGCATATTCTTTAGGTTAAATCCAATGCGCTAAACCTATTTGCTCGTGAAGAAATGTCATATAAATAGAGTTTTTGCCTTCCATTATTGGCATTATACTTAGTTAAAATTAATTAATTTTTACTAAAAATACGGTGCAATAACGAGAGAAAAGACGCGTGGGAAGGCAAAAAGAAAATAGCACGGAAGCATTTTTTGTTTTTTTCCGTAATTAATTAATATAATTAATTAAATAGCAATAATCAAACTATATAGACCAAATTAATTGGCGAGAGGAATTCGTTAAGACGAATGCAGTGATGCTTTCAACGCCAAAGATCTCTTTCATTGAAGAGACCGATGTTAAGTTAAAAACTCGATTTCAAGGCCAGGTAACATCTTTTTTTTTAGATATTGATTTATATATTGATATTGATTTAAATTGATTTATATATATTAAATAAATATATATATAAATTAAAATACAAAGTCAGAATAAAAAATAAGAAATTTATGAAAAAAAATTGAACAATAAAATTTTCTCTTTTTTATTTTCATTTCTTTTTCACTTTTTCTTAAAAAAAAAAATTTTTTTTATAGGTTTTAGTTTTATACGCGAAAGTACCATTACTTTTGGATTCGTTATTGAGTAGTCTTCGTGAAGCATGTAAACAATCATCGAGTCAACCGATTACCGTCAAGTGGATCGACGATGAAGGTTCATTAAATTCTTCGATTTAATTTCTATTATATCCTTTGAATGACAAGGCTGATGTTAAATTTAAAAAATTAATTCTTTTATTCTTGTTTTTTTTCATTTTTTTTTTCAACATGCCTCTCAACATAAAACGTGGAATTTTTATTTTTCTTTACGTTCTTTTTTTTTTACGGGAATTCTTTCTCCTTTAGAGAAATTAAAATTGCTTTTATGAATCAATTAAAATTAAGAATTACGAAAACCAGTAAATTATTAAAAATTATTAAACTGCTTATCGCTTATCGTTATTGGAATTCGCTAAAATTTTTTCGTTTGGTAAATGAAGATATTTTTTGCATATATTAAAATTATTAATATTATTAAAATAAATTAATAAATTAATAAATATTAAAATATTAAAATAAATAAATATTAAAATATTAAAATATCAAATAATTTTTTTTGCTCGATTCAGGTGATCCATGCACAATATCTTCTCAGCGGGAATTGGATGAAGCAATACGTCTTCTAAATATGAATGGAGATGCTGAACTGAATGTTCATGTATTTCTTGGAGTTCCAGCACTTCCCGGATTGCCATGTTCTGGTGAAGATAGTAAGATAAATTATTCATTATTAACCTAGTGCTGTTGGTTATCAGTCTAGTTTCATCAGTCTAGCTTTAAATTTCCTAAATTTCTGTTTGTTTTTAATTTACACACCTGGATAACTAAATGGATAACGTTTTTTGATCCGTTAAAATTTTTTTCAATTGTAATTTAATTTTAATTTAATAATTTAATCATAAAATTTTTTTTAACAGAATTTTTTGTTTAATGCATATTATTTAGTCCCAAATTATTTCAGCGAATAATCCGCTCATTTTTACCAAAAAATATTTTCAGAAACGGTATATAGGCGAGGAGCTCGTCGATGGAAGAAATTTTATCATGTAAACGGTCATAGATTTCAAGCGAAACGATTAAATCGGAGAATGCAATGTTTTTTCTGCAATGATTACATTTGGGGACTTGGCCGACAAGGTTATCGATGCGCAGACTGCAGATTATGTGTTCATAAAAAATGTCATCGAGCTGTTCGGCAACCATGTGGTGATGTAAGAATTTCAAAGTTTTTTCGTTCTGTTATGTGCTTAGATTAGTGAGATTTCTGTTTTAGAATATTCTTATCATATGGGATAGCAAAAGAGCCAATTGGTAAATCATTTGCTCCTATTCTTAGTATAAGTAGTGCATCTAGTAAATTGATTATTTTAATGGATTGTTTAATTCAATATTCAATTTGGAAAATTAGCATTTTTTCCCATCTATCCAAGCAGCAGCTATATCAGAATGTCCCTTTTTTTATTATAAATAGGCAAAAAAAAATGATAAATTTCATGGAATAAGTTGGATTTGCTTGATTTATTTGTCTAATTTGTCCTATTATTTTACCGCATTTTAGATGTTCAGCCTTTAAAAGCTCGAATTTTTCATTTGTATTTATTCAGCATTCATTTGGATCAACTACTACTCCTTCTCCTTCAGTGGCTTATATTGCACCGCGAATCAATGGTTCTGGTGGGCTTAATGTTGGTTTTGATAACTGTGCTTTTAAAGAATCGGAAATTGAGGCAGATCATTCGCTTAAGGTATTGATTTCAAAGTTATTGTTTTTATTTTTTATGAAAGTTGGAGATAAAGCATTGATTCTATTTTTTATTTTTTTTCGACATTGTTAATTTTTGTCCAGTTTTGAATAAAATGACAGTCAAAAGGACAGTTAAATGTCATTAATTCGAGGTTATATTCATATTTGTAGCGTGGTCATATGGGAAATGATTATCACATGGTTATATCCAACCTAGGACAAGAATCGAAACCAGCTGTATCACTTGATGATTTTAATTTGTTAACAGTTATTGGGAGAGGTTACTTTTTTTCTTTTTTTAGTGATATTTCTGTGACATATATTATAAATTTCTTCTTGGTTTCTTCAATTCATTTCAGATTTTAAAATTTTAGTTAATTAAGTATTGAACTTTTTATTGTTGGCTTAATTTTCCATTTTTTAAAAATAAGTAGCATTGTTTTTTGTACGATTGGTAAGATTATTTTTAATGGATCGCTTTTCAATTTTCTGAAAGAGAATAGATGAATTGAAATAGTTGGCTACAAAAATATTTTTTATTTTTATTAATCTTTTTTCGTTTTGAAGAGTTGAAGTGGCGAAGATCTTAGGTTTTATTGAGGTTTTTGTAGGGTTTTTGATGTTTCATCATTTAAGTTTTTCCTCATATAAATTTAAATTTAATTATGACTTTAGATTTTTTAAATTAATAATATTTATATTTAGATTGTCATATACAATATTTTCATATATATTCGGCATTTTCTCTTTTTTGTTTGCAAAAATACAAATTTTTCGATTTTTTTATATCTTTTTTCTTTCGAAATGAATATTTTTCCATATATTTTTTTATATAGCAAATTCTTTTGAACTTTTTTTTAAAATTCTTTTTTTTTTGCAGGCTCATATGCAAAAGTTGTGCAAGCAGAACATAAGAAGACTAAAGCGGTTTATGCCATAAAAATAATCAAAAAACAAATGTTCAATGACGATGAAGTAAATAAAATTTTATCTAATTCTTTGTATTAAATGGTAACAAAAATAAATCTTTAAATTATTTAGCGACTACGAAAGAAAACTTAATCCAGCTTAATACAGCTTAATCCAGTCGTTTTCAACTGGAACCATTACAGAAAAAATCCTGAATAGAAGACCAGAAAATATTAGGAGGGCCAAGATATTATAAGGGAAGCACGCTAAGTTAAAAAGTAGAAACAAAATAGCAATTTGTTTTCTCAATTCCTACTTTGAAACAAAGTTTGTGCTAATTCATTTTGTCTGTTTATTTTAGACGCCAGTTTCAGGACATCGATTGGGTTCAAACAGAAAAATCTGTATTTGAAACTGCGTCAAATCATCCATTTCTAGTAGGATTGCATTCTTGTTTCCAGGTATATATTTGGTGTTTTCTTTTGTTATATTTTTTTCATTATTATGAACTAAATTAAAATTTTGTAAAAAGCAGATTTTTATGAAAGATTTTTCATGAATAATTTAAAAAAATGGAGTTTAAATTGGAATTTTTTCACTTTCTGCAACTAAAATCATTCATGATTTTTATTGAAGATCGATCTTTGGAAAATTGTGGAATTTGATTTTCTTTGAAAAAGGTTTAATACTATATTCCATTAAATGTCGCTGAAAAATGATTTTTTTTAGACTGATTCACGTCTTTTTTTTGTGATCGAATTTGTTCCTGGTGGAGATTTGATGTTCCACATGCAAAGGCAACGAAAGCTTCCTGAGGATCATGCAAGGTTTTTTCGATTTGAATTTAATAAATTTAAAATTTCCTTCTTTGATTTCGATGGTTTTGGAATGGTTTTAAAATAAAACCTTTTCTTAAAAAAATCCCTCAGATAGAAATGATTTTAGTAAATATCATTTGAATAATTTGCCTATAATTATATCTCAGTTTCTAATTCTTTCGAAGGTGTTTGTAACTTCACTTTTCTAGTTTTTCACATCTTTCATTCTTTAGGTTTTTTTATTATTCCTAATTACGAATGATCGTTTAGTGCTTTCTATGTTATAATTAGACATTTTGAATTAATTCATTCACCTATACATATATTTTTTTGTCACATAACAAAAAGAGTCAAAGCAATTAACATATTTATTTTAAGAATGCGAAAAATTTTTTTTTTTCTTCGAGTGATAAATTACTTCTCCCTTTGTTCTATTTCTAGTCCCTTAAGTCTTATAATTTATTATATCCCTTTTGACAGATTTTGCAACCATTAAAGGCTTTGGATTTCACTATATTATTTATAAATCTAAATAAGAAATTATATAAAAGCTTTTTTGCATACTTTAAAAGTTGATCACTGTAACATGATATCTGTCTGTATATTATATAAGAATATTATTTTAAAAATCGAAGCCAAGCGCTATTATTGTTAGCCTCATGAGTTGTACAAAAAAGCAAAGGACATGAGTAGGATATTTATATTTATTTAATATATTTATTTGTATTATTATATATTTTTATTTAATAAAGAAATTTATATATTATATTTTATATATTATATTTATATATAAATTATATATTATATTTATATATATATAAATATTTATATAAGATATATTTATTTAATAAAGAAATTTTAGGTTCTTCCCAATTAACAAGTTTTGAAGAGCGCTTGAAGTTTTTTAATGAGTAAAAAATGAGAAAAATTTGCCTAAAAATCCCTTAGAAAATTTGTCCTGGAATAAATTTTTTTTTAATCGAAAGGCCTATTGTTCGCTATTCTTTCCGCATCATTGCCACATCTACGGCTAATATCTTTTGTTGTTAAAATATATGTTTGTCCATTTTTCCTTTTCTTTTTTTTCCATTCTATAGTTTAATTCCTGTTTTTTTAATTCATTCTTTGTCATCGTTCTATCTCCTAATCGACAGTTATTTCCGCCTACAAATTGTTTTTCTACCTTTTATGTCACTTGGATGTATGCATGTAGGCATTAATTTTCAATGAATTTATTATATTTGATGAATATAATATGTCGATTTTTATTATGATTTCTAGCGCGCTATTTATGAGTTTCATTAATTACTTTTTGAATGGATAATTTAGAAGACAATCAATTTAGAAGACATTTAATTCGAATAGGACCACGATTGATAATTGATAAAAAAGATCTGATTTGCGATAAATAAGTAAATTTATGATAATTTATGGTAATTTATGAATTTTTGGTAAATCCGAAATATTACAAAAAAATTCATTTCATAATAAATAAATTTTAGGTTTTATTCGGCGGAGATTATACTTGCACTACACTTTTTGCATTCGCGTGGCATCATTTATCGTGACTTAAAGTTGGATAATGTTTTGATAGATGCTGAAGGGCATATTAAGCTTACAGATTATGGAATGTGCAAGGTTTGCTATAGTTTTTAATAGATGCTTATGATAATAATGTAGAAAATATTGAATAAAGAATATATGAAGAATATGATAATATATTCATATAGTCTTTTGGATTTTCTCCCGTCCAGTAAAAAACTTTTGATAAAAATAAGGAATAACGAGGAGTTTGCTTTATTTTTTAATTATCGTTAAATTTTAACATACATAAATTTGCAATAACGAACGGGATAAGAATTTTATGCTCCCAAGGAAATAAAAAAATTTTTATATTGTATTAAATTTTTTTTTTTTTATTGAAATGTTTTTGTTAAAAGTAAACTTTAATTGATTCAAAATTTTTATTTATCTAATTTTATTCAGATCAATTGATTTTTTTAAAATTTTTAGATTTTTTTTGCTATTTATCATTTGATAATTATGCACTTTTGTTTTGTTGGTTATTACTAATAGATCAAGATTCAAATGATAAGAGAACAAAAAAAATTTCAAGGATTCAAAAAATTTCATATTTGTTAATTTTATCCATTTCATTTACTATTTGTAATTTCTAATAGCAATCTTTTTTCCCAATTATTAAAACTATAGGGAGAAATTAAAAGAAAAAAAACAAATTCGACTCTCAAAAATTCGACTGTCGTAAAGTAAAATTTTTCGAAAAGCGAATTATTAAATGAAAAATAAAAATTCATTAATATCAGTATTATTATATTATTAGCATTATCAATTGACAGATTATCAAATATTCTCAAATAATCATTATTTAAATAAAGTTAATTAATTAATTAATCAAAATAAGATTACGTGTTAAAAGATTTTAATAGATTTAATGAAATATTTGTTTCATTTTTTTGACTTTATTAGTTTATTAAATTTCGGTTTTTAATTTTAACAAGCACAAAGCATCATAAATGAGTAATTTCTCATCATCCAAATTTTGATTTCCCCCATTACTGAGGAAAAATGAAATGTTTTTTCTCGATTTCTTTTTCGTTACTTTTAATGCCCGGAGGGAACCGTCCCATAGATCACAAAATCATCGATATAGCCACTCTATAAATTTTTCTCAATTCTATAATTTTGCACTGAATTTTTAATTTCTCTTTTTCTTATTTCATTTGACACTTTTTATTTTCCTAAAATAAATATTAGAAAAGAGATTTTGAACTTTTTTTTATAAATATTTCACTTATATGAGGAATATTTATGAAATTACAAGTGGAATACTTCTCCTAAAAGAAAGCACTTAGCAATTGTAGTTGAGCTGGTTTCTCTGGCTATTAAAATTTTAAAAAAATAGATGGTGCGAGATAAGAATTTTGGTTTTAATAGCACATTTACACCTATCAAGACGTTGAATCTATATTATATTTTGCTTAATTTTATTTGAATGACCAAAAAAATATCAGAGATTAGGAGTAATTTCCAAAAAATTACCAGAATTTATCTTCTTTACTTTTTTATAGGACTTTATTTTTAGAGTTTTCGTTCCATTGGCTTTTTTAATGATTCTTTATTAATAACTAATTAATAACTAATTTTCAGTCATAAACATGAAAATATAAATTTTTCGGTTATTAATTTGATAAACTGAAATAAATAATGATTTTGACGTCATTTAAGTCATTTTTGAGATTTATTTCGTATTACACATCTCAAGTTGAAATGACAATTTTTCTAAATTTCGTCACAAATAATTATTAAATAATAACTTTATTGCAGGAAAATATTGGTCCGAATGGTGTAACGAGTACTTTTTGCGGCACACCTAATTATATTGCTCCAGAGATACTAAGAGGAGAAGATTACGGTTCATTTATAAATGGTTTATCAATTGAAGAATACTTTTTATATATAAATAATCGAATATATTGTTGTTTCAGGATTCAGTGTAGACTGGTGGGCGCTTGGAGTATTAATGTATGAAATGATGGCTGGTCGATCACCATTTGATGTTGTTGGAATGGTTAACGAAGTTGATCAGAATACTGAAGATTATCTTTTCCAAATAATTCTCGAGAAACAAATACGTATTCCACGATCGCTTTCAGTTAAAGCAGCAACAATTCTCAAAGGATTCTTGAATAAGGTTTTCTGGTCTTTTCATCTTTATTCTTTTATTTCATAAATTTGGGAGAATTCCAAAATTTTTAAAATTTAAAAATCCTTAAAACAAAATCCTTAAATAATAAGAATAAAATAAATAAATTTGTATTTAAGGAGCCAACTGAGAGGTTGGGTTGTTGTAGTGATATCGATGAAGCACTGGATGATATGAAAACGCATCCTTTTTTCCGAAATAATATCGATTGGGAGTTGGTAATAATTAAAGAATTTCTATAATTTATTGCTATACGATATCATAATCTGTTTTCTTTTTGGTAATTCATTATCAAATAAAATGTAGTAGATTTTTTTCAAATTTTCTTCACTTTTTTATCTATTATGACCACCAGCAGACTCTCGTTACCATTTCTTATCACTGGTCTATTTAAATTTCAAATTAAGGTCAAAATTATCAAAATTATCTGTTAGTTAGCTTAACAGGAATTTAAAGAATTAATGATAAAAACATAGTATCACTCATTCAGATCCTCTTATTTCTAGAAATACAATAATATTTTAGCTTGAAGCGCGTCAGGTGACTCCACCATATAATCCTTCAGTATCCTCAGATCGAGATCTTCAACATTTCGATACAACGTTCACAGATGAAGCTCCAGCATTAACTCCGGATGATCCGTAAGTTCACGAAAAACACTTCATAACAAACTTTTTTCCTAATAATTTTTTTATTGTTGGTTGCACGTAATTTTCAATTGATAATTTTCGGTTTTTCAAAAATTTGTTAAAAAGTTCTCTTTTTTCATTTTCCAATAACAAAAAATCTAACTTACGAATAGTCGCGTTTCGTCCAGTTTAGTATTGAGATGAAAATTTCGGGATGAATTTTGGGATGTCTATCATTTTTTATTCCAAAACCTTTATAACCTTTGTCTGCTATCTGAATATCATCGAATTGTTGTTTTTTGCAATGGGAAGGATGTGATTTAGTTTCGATCTTCAGTCGATGATTGGTGTTTGCTGATAAACGAAAAGTTATTTATTATTATTTTTAAAATTTGTGGTGAACTTTATCAATAGAATTTTAAACGCCACTAATATCTTTTGCATTTATTTAAAAGGGTTTTTTTTTCTTTTGAGCTAATCTAATAATTTGTAGGTAGTGTCGGAAAAAAAATTTACCTTTCATTTTTTGATTTTTTTGTTTCAATTTTTAATTTTTTTGTTCAGTCCCGAAGGCATTATTTGTGATTATTGAAAAATTTTTTGCTCTTCAAATATTTTAGTGAAAACTGAGAACTCAAAAAGACCGGTTTTCTTCAATAAATATTTTTTCTTTTCACTTTAGATTTTAATGCTATGAAAATATTTTATTTTCAAAAAAAGGATATTTTTTTCCTTGTTTTTTTTTGATAATTTAACCTCTCTCTTATCGTTCGACTTCTTTCTTCAATAAATCACTTCAAATCGTCTCAAAAAAGAAATTTTTGAGAAGAAAATTCTTTTAATTGAATGGAACATATGCGTTTGTAATGAGTTGTGGAAATCTTTTTTTTTTTTTTTTTCTTCGATCGTTTTAATATTTTTTTAGATGATTTTTGATGACTATTTTTCGAGATATAATTATGTTTATGTTTTATTTTTATTATCTCTTTTATTTGCTCAATTCTTTCTTTTTTTAGTATTTCTTCATCTTTAAACTTTTAAAATTGTTAGGAAATGAGTTGAAGTGGATTTGAAAAAAAAAAAAAATTTTCTTTTTGTTTAATTGTGTAAATAAAGATTACGGAGAAAATTTTCAGACAAGTTATTGAACGTATCGATCAATCGGAGTTCGAAGGATTTGAATATATCAATCCTTTGCTAATGTCAAAAGAAGATAGCGTATGATCGTGATAACGAATCGCAAAAAGTGGTTGTGATAACATATATATATAATACAAGAAGAGAAATAATAGAAGTTGATTTTAAAAAATATAAAATTAAAAGAGAATTTTAAAAAAATGGAAAATTGTTTAATAAAAGTTTTATAACGCTCTACGCCTTCCTATCATAGGTTTTGAATTTTGAATTTTTTGGATGACTTATTACTAGTAAATTTTTCTTGGCTATCTTATATTTTGCTTAATATTTTATAGTAATTTAGTGATTGATAAAATTATAATTTAATTGAAAAAAAATGAAATAATGAGAAAATTATAATTAAGAAGAGAATAATTGAGAAAAAATTTTGACTAAAAAATAAAAAGGATAGAAAAAAATTTTCTATTTTTTTACTAATAAATTTTTTAATTTTGATTTTTTTTAAAAGAATTCTCGAAAAAATAGAGTTCGCTTATAGTTCTCTAGATGGCTGGCGAAAATTTCTTAACTTAATACACTGTGATAATGTGGAAAGAACTTAAAAAAAAAAAAAAAGAGTGCTAACCGACTAACAAACTAACAAACTGTTACCGTTGTTATACAATGACTATCAATTATTTGTTTGATATTTCGGTAAAAAAGAGAAAAAAAAATATTTATTGCTCATTTTATTTTTTGATTTTTTGATTTGTTGATTTGAATATATTATAAAAATTTTGCCCTAATTTTGCTTTTTACGTATAAAAATAAAAAGAATAAATAAATATAAATAATCTAAACGAACGATTAACGAGCGATTCTCAGTCTCAATTCCGAATAGGACGTTAAAAAGGAGACATTTTCGATGCGAGTCGCGACATAAAAACTGGATTTGGATTCATGCGAACTTCCTTCTTTTGCATGGTCGTTCGGTCGTTTAGTGCTGCTGGTATGCGCATGCAAATAATAAAATGATTTGATTTGATTTGATTATTTCATGTTAAATTTAAATATTCGTCAAAATTTATGTGAGAATTAATAATTTTTTTGATAAAAATAAATGTTTTTTCTTTCGATTTTTCTAAAAAAAATTTTTTACATTAAAATTGAGTTTTTTTTTTCATTTAAAAATTAAATTTAAAAATTTTAAATTTTTAAATTAAATTAAATTTATTTAAAAATTAAATTAAATTTATTTAAAAATTTTCGAAAAATAAAAATTTTATTTTCCTTCTTTTTCGTCGTATTTTTGATGAATTTTTGATAAATATCGAAGATTTTTGATGCGTTTAATGTGCATTCAAATATTACTAATTTTTTTTCTTCAAATATTTATTTAAAAAAAAAAAAAAAAATAGTGAATTTCGAATGTAAATAGAATTTGCAAATGATATTTTGCTTTTCGTTATTAAAATTTTATGTGTAAAATAAACGAAAAAAGAAGCCTTCTCTGTCGTCGTTGTCGTTCTTTATCAGTGATAATTGCAATGATAATTGCAAAATAAGGTAAAATTCATAAAATTTTATTTGCAATAAAATGCGCTTCCATTTCGCTACCATTTGAATTTCAAAAAATAAAAAATTTCACTCTCGCAGGAAATTTTTTAAAAGAATTTATTAATTTTTTTAGAAGAATTTTCTAAAAAAAAATCAAATACATTTGATAATATCATTGTTTTAAAGAAATTCATAAAATGATTGCATATTAGAAAATAAGTGATCTTATGATTTAGTGTACATATGCGTGTGTTTGCACTTATTGCATGTGTGTATGTGTGCATCTGCATGTGTATGCCATGTGTACATCCGTGCATGTATGTATATGTGACTTGAATTTGTGGGTAAAATAAAGTGAATTATTTGCACCTATAATCGAGGTGAAATCTAAATCTAAATTATATGATTTTTTATGAAAATTTATACCGATTTTAATTAGGAAATTCGAAAAAAAATTTTATAATTTTCTTAATTCAAAATGAATTGCCTAATAATTGGTAAACGATTGAATTTATCATAAAATTACAATAAAATAATCCAACAATTTTTAAAATTTTCATTTTATTAAGCAAAATAAAATACTAAAATAAAATAAAATGAATTTTGTAAAAAAAAATTGAAATAAATTTCAAAAAATATTAATTTTAATTTTTCTGTCGATTTTAAATTTGAAAAAAAATAAAATGAAATTTCATTAAAATTTCTAACATTACAATTTAAAAAAAGAAAAAATTTGATAAATTTTATTTTTTAATGAGTGGAAAAAAAGAAAAAAAATCGATGAATTACATTATTTTTTAAAATTATTTTTCATAAACTTTTCATATTTATTTTTTAAATTATTCATTAACTATGAATTTGAAATTTACTCGAAAGTGCTTTTTTTTTAACTTTTTTTAAAATGCAATTTTGCGAGAAAAAAATAGTAATTTTAATAATTTTCATGAAAAGATTTCGTTTAAATCGCCTTCAAACAAATCAAATCAAATCTTTAAATAACAATAAACGTCGACTAATTCCAGTAAATCCTTAAATGGCTTATGCCTAAGTAAAAGAATTTTTAAAAAATAGGAAATATAATAATAAAAAATAATAATAAATAATAATAAAAAAAGTAAGAAATTTTCCGAATTTTTTTTCCCTTAATTTTTTTTAATCTATCCGTAACGGCAATTTATACGATTTATTCTAATAATTAAAATAATTAATTTCGCCGATGTTTGAAATTGTTACTAAAGCCTTTTGTAAAAGTACCATAAATACACTATAAAAGTATGCATTATTAAAGGAAGAATGTACCATAAATTTGAGAGACCTTGGAAAAGAGACCTTTTTTTTTCGTATATTACACGCTATTTATAAAATAGTATAAAAATTATCAACGAAATTAGTGTTAATTATATGAAAAATTTAGTTCATAAAAATAAAAATTCATTTTATTCCATTCCATTAACTTGTCATATCACTTTATCAGTCTTCTTTAGTCTTTGTTTGATGATTTTTCTATTAGTACTCATCATATCTAAATATATGAAATTATGACTCTATTATGATTCTTTATGAAAATTTATACCGATTTTAACTCTATGAACTATCAAAATGTGATCCATTCACCAAAATGATCCACTGAAGATAGAATTACAGGTGAGTCTTTAATACTGTCCAATATTTGGTACTTCCTTAAAGATAGGATTATAAGTGGATCTTTAATATCGTCCAGTATTTGGTACTTCCTTAAAGATAGGATTATAAGTGGATCTTTAACATCGTCCAGTATTTGGTACTTCCTTAAAGATAGGATTATAAGTGGATCTTTAACGTCCAGTATTTGGTACTTCCTTAAATATAGGATTATAAGTGGATCTTTAACATCGTCCAGTATTTGGTACTTCCTTAAAGATAGGATCATAAGTGGATCTTTAACATCATCCAGTATTTGGTACTTAAATTATAAATTATTGAAATACGAAATCTTGAAAGTATATTTTGCTGAATTCAATCGAATCATCCATCTGTCCTCGTATATTTGAACGAACAAAAAAAATTGAAAAATTGCATCGACATTGTGAATGGCAGTATAAACAATATTTTCCTGTTTTCAGTGTGCATCGGTGTATCTATTCTAACTGTAACTGTATGTACGTATATATATATGTATTTGTATGAAAGTACCACAAATATGAAAGTATTTATGAATTCATGGAAGTACCATAAATATGAAAGTATGTGTGAATATATGAAAGTCCCGTAAATGTAAAAGTATGTATGAATGTATGAAAGTACCATAAATTTAAAAGTATTTATGTATGTTTATATGTGTCGAAATGTAATTTAGTGTAAAATTTTGTTTGACTTTTTAGACTAAGTGGAACCAAAATGGTATGTGAAACTAAAAATAGTTCTTTTCACTCATCTTTGAAAGCGTGATCTTTAGCGTGCTTTTTTTTTACTGTAAGGGATTGTTCTTAATGGCCTGGCGAGGGTCATAGAAGGGCCAATCAAAGGTCAAACAATAAACTGATCACTTTCAATTAGAATACTAAGCACGGGGTTTTTCTCTTTTTAGCGATCCTATAACCCAGTAAAGCCTACTTTATTTTTTCTTATTTTTATTTTTTTTTACTTTATTTCAACAATGAAAAAAATCGAATTGGAAAAAAGTGAAAATATTTTTTACATAGGGATTATTATTTATAAAAATTATTGCTCGAAGGTTTTCGAGAACCATTAGAGAACCATTTTCGATTTTATTTTAATTTTTAATAAAAAAATTTCTTTTTTTTATGAATCAAATGAATTTAAAAGAATTAGAAGTTTTATCGCCATTTTTTACAATTCGCTTATCGTTCCCATCACTCTCCCATAATTCTTTCAATTCGCTTATCGTATCCATCATTCTCCCATAAATTTTTTTTTTATTTTTCTATCGTATTTGATCGGAAAAAAAAAATAATGGTGCTCCAAGCGGCAGAGATTTTATTTAATTACAAAAAAAAATTTATTTTACTATTTGCTTTACCAAAATTTCCATCTTTAGAGAACCGAAGAAAATCTTTGGTGACAAAAATCTCACCACCGCTAATACCAATAGTGTCTCTCTACGACTGATTAGGGCATTAACTGCGACATACTCGACGGCGACACGGCCACCTACCTTATAGCAGAGCTTTCATTTCCACTTTCGTGCTATTATTCGTTTCTCTCCTTTCGCCAGTCTCTCTCTCATACTCTCTCATCCGTTCACTCATTCAGTCGACTGATCAGTCAGTTGGTGAGTCAGTCGTTGAGTCAGTCAGTCAGTCAGTCAGTCAGTCAGTCAGTCAGTCAGTCAGTCAGTTAGTCAGCTAATGCGTGTCTGCGCATCTAACCGCTGTCTCCCTGTCTCCTTTCTCTCTCATTGTCTCTTTGCATGTCATCAAAAAATGATACACCAATAAGTCTTCGTTTTAGCATTTGTTTGTATGTGACATATGTATGTTATCTCTGTTCTCTCTCAATATTCCTTTATCTTTTTCTCTTTATAAATCGAACGCGAAGAATCTGCACTTTTATTCTTTTTTTTTTTCTCTCGTTTATAGACATTTGATTGATCGGTTTGGTTTGGTTTGCGAATCGTCTAAAATGCCTTTTCGATTATTTTTTTTGCATTTTTTTTTCCTCTCTTTCTTCTTCAATAGCGCGTAAAACGTGTCTAAAATACGTTGTTTTTAAAAGTTGTATTATAATAACAACGGCGACTGCGACAGCGACGGCGACAGCGACAGCGACGACGACGACGACGACGACGACGACAATGACGACGCCCATCTTTATTTTTATTGTCTAACTATTTCTATCGCGTTGAATCTTTTTTAAGGGGAATGAATATGAGTGATGCGACAACAACAACTATTGCTATGCATTGTCACCATCCGATCCACAATCATCACCGTAATAATAGCATTATTCACCAAACGCTACAACAACAACAGCAACAGCAATTGCAGCAGCAGCAGCAGCAGCGACAACAACAACAGCAACGGCAACAGCAACAGCAGCAGCAGCAGCAGCAGCAGCAACAGTCATCATCATCAATAGTAATAGCAGCATCATCGAAACAAGCGTTAATTGATAAACGCTTATCACCTTCTTCGTCTATTTCACGATCGCCTATCCAGTTATCACCATCAATAACGCCTCAGCAGTCGCTATTCTCATCGTCGTTATCATCACCTTCATCATCATCGTCTGTGTTATCAACACTAACTACAACTTTATCACCATCGTCGTCATCATCAACATTACTTTTGCCATCTACTCAGATTTCAACAGCAATAACAACAACAGCAAAAACAACAACAACAACAGACGATGTATTACTCGACGAGTTGTCGCGTTTAAGTGGTTTGATACCGGTTCAGCCTCATCCAATCATTGTACCACCTGATATGAGTTATTCCGCATTGCGCAGCACATCACTTAATGGACATTTTGTTTCGTGTTTTGTTGTTGGCGGAGAATGTCGAATATGTTTTCCACAAATTATTTCTGTTGTCCTACAAAACGTACCAATACGTGAAGTTAACGAACTTTTTATTACGTTAAATATTCATATATCAGTTGCAACGCCGCAACAACTTGATACATTAAAATTCGCTGGTGTTATGCCAATGACTGTTGATAGCTGTGGTTTAATAACGAAAAGTGATGCGGAACGTCTCGTTGCCAAACTAGTACCACAATCAGGTGGACCATTACGTACGTCAGTCTCACGCGATGGCGATGTTTCAGTAAGTCATGATTGTTTTGGTGGTTGTGTTGGACGTCTGATCACTATGATTTCAGCGACAAACGATGATTGTATTGAATGTGATGAATGTAAATTTATGTTTACTGGTGAAAAATTTGTTACGCATACGCATTCATTGCGTGAAATTCATAAAACATGTCATTGGGGTTTTGATTCGGCAAATTGGAGGCATTTTATATATCTAACCGATGAATCGGATGATCCTAAAAATTCATGGGCATCACAATTATTACAGCAATTTAAGAATTACTCGTCAAATATGATCGATTTACTCGTTCGACCCGTGAAACGTCATTCAACTGATGCTAAGGTAAGTCGGATTATTTTTTTTTTAGATCATTTGTAATTGAGTTATAGAATTATTTTAAATTCGGGCTAACGATAGTTGAAAAAGGTCCGTCTTCTTCTTCTTCTGGTTTGCCTAGTTTCATTGATTATTGACCAGTGAAAACTTCATGGATGATTTTTGAATGGAAATAATGAAGATATAAAGCATAATGAATTTTAGGTTGGCACAACAGATTTTGTTCCATCGAAGGTACCGAATGTTTCACTTCCATCTTTTGATTTTCGTCGATTGCTCGAATGGGAAGGTCTTCGTAGTAATGCAGCCAGTAATACGGACGCGACTACAGTGCCGATCATGAATCCGGCTCAGCTGGCTTTGCATTGGCTGAACCAATTACAGCAGTCACAAAGGCTTTCATCGTTGCCATTAGCTGCAGCTACAACTACATTATCAACACAATGGTCAAATGAATTTCTGAAGCAGTTAATTGCTGTAAAAACAGATCCTCGATTTCGAACGCTGGATATAACAAATTCTTTGGACATAACCATGCGAAATGGATTTGCTGGTTCTTTAGGTAAATTACTTGTTTATTGCATAAATTTAGATCCGACTGGAATTCAGATTAATGTAAATTCCGCTGAAAACTATGCTGTTTATTCCAATTTATACCAGTTTATATAAAATTGAAGTTTTTTTTTTGCAGAAATATAACGTGATGAAATTTTTAATCATGCTGTTTCAACCAAACTTTTAGCTGTTACGTTGGAAAAACTATTAGAAGAGAATCTTAAAGAACCAGAACTATCGTTAGCACGACGATTGCTACTCGAAGCGAAGCAGGCACGTAATCGTGAACTCGAATCATTATTATCGCAAAATGAGAAACTGATGAAAGAAAACGCAATTTTACGAAATGCTCTATCAAATACAGGATTAGCACCAAAATTGGCTAGTTTGCTATCCGCCAATTAACTAAGTATCCATTTTTTGTACTTTTGTACATTTTTAAATTCTACCTTAAATCCTCGTTTGCAAACACTTCCATTCTTATAGAAGAACCAATATTTGCATAACTTACTTTTATCTTTTCATCTCTAAGTCAAATATATTTACTAGTCATCCGAATTTTACTTTCAATGATAGGTGCACACTCTTTTATCGGAAGAAAGAGAATTGTACCAATAATGCCTACTCAGCGACATTCACATTTAATACCTTATAAGATGGTAAAAGATTTTTGCATTAAATGAATTATATTGAATAAAATATTAGTAAAATTGATCGATGAAATACTTTCATAATTCATAATTTACGATTTTTAATTAGTAATGTGGATCTAATAAATATTTACTTGATGCGCTGCCGATCTCGAATTATCTTACGGGTTTACTCGCCGAGGTCGGAGGCTCATTCTTTTTCTTCATACCTTCCTCATTTGCAGTGCTCTCCATACAATTTTTTTTTTCATTCTTCATCCTATTTTGAATGAATTATTTTTATTTTATGCGTAAATTTTTTTGTTTTTTGTTATTTTTTGATCCGCTGTTTCTTATTTACCTCAAGTCAGCTTTTTTTGAATTGTTTATTTATTTATTTTTTTCATGATACACATTCAATTATTATCAATTATTTATTGCTTTTGGTTCTTTCCTGAATTTCATCTTTCAAGCAGTTTAATTTCTTTTGAGAAAAAAAAGAGAATTTCCTACTTGCTATATGCAAATTGCTAAGATTGCTAAGATTGCTTGATAAGATTGAGGAAAGTTCCAGTTTTTTTTCTTGGTTATTTATAATCTTGTAATTGAGTCGATCGATCACCGTTTTTTTAATGCACGCATTACACCAATGGTTGGTTTTAATTGCGTGGATATGGGATTTCTATTGAAATCGTCGTATCTCAAATATTCCATTCTTTAGAAATATCTCAAATACAAGAATTAGAAGCGATTATGTCTCATTTACAAAATTATCAAAATTCTTTATGTTATTTGTGTATCAGATAAGACCGACTGCTCTAGCGTTTTCTCTTTCTTCTTCTTCCTTATTTTTTTTTCGCTTATCATTCAAAAAAATTATTTTCTGTTTTTTGATTATGGTAGATAGATAGGTTGGGTAGGGTAGAATTCCAATTTTTATTATGGATACACAACTTTTTTTGAAAATAATTTTGATTATCAGTTTCATAATTTTCTGGTTTATGGCATTTGAAATTTCGAAATCATCTTTCAATCATCTTTTAATGATTTATGGTAATTTTTTATAAAAATAAGGTTAGTATGAAGTTGGTATTAGATTTTATGAAATTGGGGATTTTTCAGATTTTTTTTCTTTGGTAAATTATGATTATTGCCTGCACTTATATGAATGGATTTACGGGTTGAGTTGGGGTAAATTCAGATTTGGAGAAGAGACGTCATTTTTTTTAAAATTTTTTTGTTCAGTTGTATTTCAAAACAATATTATCAATTTCCAATGCGATTATCTCGGTGAAAATTTTTGTAAATATATTAATTGTTCTCTGTGGTATAAATGGCTCATATGGGACACTTCTAGGCTAAGTGGAAGACTTAAGAAAAAACATAATTAAATCCATAAATATTATGATGGATTCTTGTAGTAATGCCAAAAACCACCATTTTTGTCACCAAATATTCTTGTTTGAATAAAAAAATAAATGACCGCCCAGTGTGCGACAAAAAATCCTAATGTACCAAACAACTGCCTCAGGCTCTAAAGCTTTTTTTGCTAATTAATTAATATTCATATACGTTCTTCATTCAGAAATAATTTATCCAATCTTTATTTCATTTTTCATCTTTTAGTGCAATGATTCTCAAAATTTTCTCTATAAGGGGTTTAAAAATTGTGGATATATCTCATATATCTTATGAAGACCTTCTGAAAAGGTCTCAAGAATCCGCCGGGGTTACTCAGACCCCATTTTCAGAATCACTGCTTTGAAGGATGCTTATTCATTTCAGTTATGCGAATTTGCGACCTAACTTTTTCAACTTTCTTTAAATTTTAAAGTTGTTGGTTTCTTTCTCGCGATTTTTTATTTCTCCTTCTCATCATTTACAATTGTTCTTGCTTCAATTTGTCATTAATCTTGGTTCAAATTTTTCCGCTAGTTTTTAGGGGAAAATTTTAATTCGTCCAAAGGAAATAATTTTTTTTTTTGCAAAGTAGATGGAGGAGGGCGAATATTTCCTGGATAAATTCCTTTGTCTATATTATCATTTTAGATAAATATTAGCGCTTACATTTTTTGTTATCAAATGTTATCTTCGTTTTTTTTTATTTTTTTGTTATATGCTTATTATTATATATTGAAGAGGATACTTTCTCAATAACATTCCCCTTCTTAATTCGATGGCTAAGTCGTTGGAAAAGTATCTCTTTATTCGATATTTTACCTCATATGGTATGAATATAATATAATTAAGGGTGTCTAAATATTTATATGTAAAACTTCGTATATCGTGTTGGTTTATCTCGATCGCGTAGTATTTACAATGAAATGAAATAAAAATTCGTTGCGATATTTGTTTTTTAGCATTTTCAGCAAAAATTTTCTTCGATGGACAAGATTTGTTAAAAACAAAAATTGAGTTCGGGCTTGAACTTGAGTTTCATGAGCTTGACGTCGACTTCTCTTCGTTTTTTGCTAATTTTCTTCTAACGTTTACTATACGTATTTGAGGGATATGTTCGAAATTTTTTGGCTAGACTACTCATGTTTTGTGGTGACATCTCACTTCAAAATCGATTCCGAAATCGTTTTTTCTTTCTTCTAAATTTTTGCTTTCCTCTATAGTTTTTTTCCCGATATCAATGCAATATATGCAAACATATATATATAAATTTTTTTATTGAATTCGAATAAAAAATTGAAAAAAAAAGCGGAAATTTTCTCAAATGATAGCAATGAATATTTATGAGGGTAAAGGAAAATTTTTTCACTATTTATTTTCATTTCAAATCTTTTCTCGCTTCCTCATTTCTTCGCAGTCAGTCTTCCTCACCACATATCCTCTTCCATTCCTGTCTTTCCTCTTTAACTCGTCTTGTCTTCCATAGTTTTGTCTCAGCGATCCCCCTGCAGGGGGGATCTCTTACTATTCTCATCTTCACTTTTTTAAAATTATATCGCAAAATCGTCTTATTTATTAATATAATAGTTTAAAAATAATAATTTGGTTTCTAAGATTAGATTGCCGAAAAATGTCTTTGAAAGATATCGCTAGTGTTTGAGTGGTTCCACTGATTGTTAAAAGAGGATCTTTTCGGCGGAGATCATTTAATGATTCTTTCCTACTGATAATGAATTCATCTTCATTTACAAATTTGGGCTTTGAGAAAGTTCGAGGAAGAAGACAGTTGATGATAATATATTGTGTTTCATCTAAGCAGTTGAATATATCCAAATATGAATTTTTTTTAGGTTTTTTTTAGAATTCTCACCATTTTTGGTGAGGATCGCTCCACTAATTTGTGGGATCTGATAGAGGAATCATTCTGGTTGCGGAAAGAGAAAGATAAGCTTATTTTTGTTGATGCTCCAATCTCCTCGCCTCCACAAATGAGAGTTATTCTGATCCTACATGAGGTGACTTCACTTCTTCCCAAGATATTCAAAATATTCAAAAAATGTTCTCATTGTAAAGAGCAGATCCAAACCGGTTCGTTGGATTTCTAATTTAATCGTACAACATAACTTAATAGAGAGTCTCTTCATCGATTTCCGAAGAAATTTTTGAATTTAAGCGAAATTTATGAAAGCTGATAATCAAACCAATATTCCACTCGCCTATCCTATCCAACCGTATCGATTAGTATACCTACCACTCGGCTGTCGTGACCTACCAAATCGATTATTTTATTAACAACGATAAATTTTTTCTTGCTTGAAAAGAACAAAATGCAACTTTCATAAGCCAATTTTTGCATTATCTTTAACAAAATTTATTTAGTTTTTTTCGGTGTTCATTACTATAATTTTTATTATTTTCCTATTAAAGTCGATCGGATTTGTTGGCAAACAAAAATTTAGCCGCTGAATCCCTTACTTAAACAAAGTTTTATGATCATTTAGCATAATATAGGACGATCTATGATCATCGCCATCATGCACTATTAGAATAATCCATTGGTCAAATTATTAGGGGATTTTATGGATTTCGAAAGTTGAGGGATTGAGGCATCCGTTAAAAAAGAATTTCCATAATAATGTTGCATAACGAGAAAAAATCATTGAAAAGAAAATAATTTTTTTTATTATTTTTTATCATTTTATCATTATTATCACTTAAATATAGAAACATAAATGAGTTCATCGCAAAAGGCTGATTCGACTTTTAATGAAAACTTTGTCAAGGAGAAGAGGTCGAAATGTGATGCGTGAAACTGATAGTGCCTAATCAGTTTCTTATCATATCATAAGTTTTCCGTCTTAAAATATTTTGAGCGCAATAAAATATATAAAAAAATATTTTAAAAAAAGGATATGAAGGTAAATTTTATTAAAATAATAAATAATTCAAGCGGTGCAGCTGAATTTTTTTTATTTTTAATACGGTTTATTTCTTTTATTCAAAATTTATTTTAATATTTAAGGAAGCGTTTAGCTTTAAATTTGTTTTCTAGTTGGGCGATTTCCATTGGCTATTAGTATAATTAGAAATGAAATTTGTGAGAGAATCACTTTACAGAAACACAATGAGGATCGACTGGCAGGGAGCCTCGTTCCGATTTTTCAAGGGCCGATTTTCGACTAGCAGGCAGCAGCCTCGTTCGGATTTTTTAATATTAGGTTTAGTGCTATGTGAAGAAAGTTACGATTCAAATCATTTAAATATTTTATTATATTTATTTAATATTAAATATTTAAATATTAAATTAAAATTAAATTAATTAATATTAAATTATTTAAATATTAAATTAAATATTTAAATATTTAATATTAAAATAAA